TGAATGTTTGTTTTAAGCAGGAAAGCCAAAAACTGAAACATAAGTATTTTCTCAACTGAAAAGGAACTGTCAAATGTTTGTTTTCCTTAGGAAAACACTAGCCCAGGAAGGATTCAAGTCACCCAAAATGTTTTGTTGCTCTGAAAACAAGCATACATACCATTCTAGTCTGGGAGGCTTTATTTTGATTTACATGTACTTAAGCCAGGCCTCAAAAATTTCACTAAAAACATTAAAACAAATTTTTCAAGTAAAAAAAAAATAAATATTAGAACAAAACTGTTTGGGTGGGGTTTTTGGTTTGGTTTTTTTTGGGGGGAGGGGGGAGAGGCAATACATAGTCATCCTGGTCTTTAAAAATGTTCTTCATTCAAGAGGAAAATTCTAAAAAACAGGCAATATCAGTATTTCTGTGCTGAAAGCTCAGGGCAAAACACTCCCATTGGTCGCTGCTGGCATGGAAACAGAAAAAACAATAATTGCCAACAGTTCTGATTGTGTACAGGCTGCTTTCACCAAGATGGATCGCAGAACTATCATCATGAAAAGGACTAAATGAACTGATTTGTTTGAAGTGCATAAGCTAAATTTAGTTCAAAGAAAAATACATTTAGGATAGATAACTCCTTCTTGTCCTCTCCTCCCAGCTTCATGCATGATAACTATTTAAATAACCTGCTGCTGGTGTGACTCCAGCAATGATTCTTTAAAATCAGTTTTCCAAGAAAAATATAGTGAACTAGAAGAGCTCTCCAGCAGAAACAGGGTGTAGCCTTAGGGTCTAATTGGGGAAAACACTATGTACATACTTTACTTAGCATTTGTGAGTCACCTAATTGAAGCTAGACCTGTAGATATGAGCACTTCCAGGATTTGCCCTTTGGCAATGGTGAAGTAGCTCAAAATTTTGTAGGTGTTTTACAGCAGTTTTCTGCTGGCAGCTGATTTTGGTTAGGATGGATGAATTCTGAATGTGTGCGTCTCCTGTGTGTTCTGGTCTTCAGTTGCTGCTTGTTCGGATGATTTCCTTCTCCAGTTCTTCGCTTTGCTGGCACCTTGTGCTGATGCCTCAGCCTGTCTCCCTTTTCAGAGGAGCAGTTCTCCTGTCTCTAGTTATGTTTAAACCTGTTCAAAGGAAACCGAGCCCAATTCACTCATCTCGGGAGTTTCAGATTGTTTGGTATTGTCAAATAAACATCTCTTTACATTCTCACTCGAAAGCGGATTTTTGACAGTTCCATAGATCTAGTATCATGTGCAGTTCTAAATACCAGGTAATATTTTGGAAGCCATTAGTGGTCTTGTAGATCAAAAGTCTCTCAGAGACTCTTGCAAATCCACATGAAGTTTCTGAGCACTAGAATTTGCATTCAAGTTGAAGGAAGTGTGGAGACTCCAAATTCAACTCTGCTTTGTGAAGTAAATGCAATAAATCCTTGCATGTGCCTACATGTGGCAGTGTGTGAGGTGGAGGAGCCTCAGGTGTGTTAACAGTGCTTTCTCAAGTCAAATGCAGTAAATCAAAAATCCCTTTCAAAATGTAAGCAAGTTCCTTCATAAAACTGTGCCAGCTTTATGGGTTTTAGCCTACGCTGCTCCTCATGAGAGGCTATTCCAGAGCTGCATCCTCTGAAGGATGGGAATATTTTTCTGATCCTTACCCTTTTGTGGCCAACTATTATCCATTTTTTCTCAAGCCAACATTGTACATTAGTTTAAGTAGCACTTTTACTTCACTGATGTCCCCCTTCAAGTTCTCTCTTCTTCTGGCTTCTGTTCACTTTTGGATAGCACTTGATAAAATGGAGCTTTACCAGGCAGGTCAACATTTTACTTCAAATACGACCCTTTTTATGACCTCATTTTGGTTTTTTTTTCCCCCAAATGGATATTATTACTGTGAGAGTCTTGAAGTATTGCAGAAATAATTGAGCCCATTGACACATTTTAATAGGAGAGATTTTAGTGTCATAGTGCAGATCTGACAGCTTTATCTGGCCTTACATCTTGTTCTTTGCCAGCAAGATAGTCCCTACCCTACTGTCACACTAATTAATCAGCTCAGTGCTTTGTTGGGTTCATTCTGTGGCTATCAGTTTCACAAAAGGACTTGCTGATTTGGCTTTTTAGCTATAAAATAACTTGAGTGCACATTTCCAAAGCCAAAGACTGAAACCTAGAGTCTAAACAAGGGCAGATTTAGAAATAGGTGTGCACTACTTCAGGAGAAAAATATGTGCTGTGACTGAAATCCATACAGCCATTGAAATAACTTAATCTTTGCATTTGACTTCCACTTCAGAACTAGCTAATGAAATTCCTCCAGCTTTTAAGGTTAGACTGTAGAATTGTGATGGGTTTATTTATTATTTAATACTACTCTTGCCTGTCCTGGCCTCATCTAATTACTGAATTACTTGGGTTTGACTCTTTGTTCATATATCACAAGGCATAAAGATTGCAGGAAGCCATCAGCCTGTGAAAGCAGCCTCATACCATTTTTGTCTGCTCAAACTTTCAGTCACATAAGGTGGCACACCAAAAAGTGCTGTCTGAATTCAAGTGCATTGTACTGCACCTCGTGAAAGTCATAGGGTGGAGAGGACAACGAATGCTTTAGTGTGTGTGCTCCCTCACCTGCATTGTTGCTCCAATCTGTGACTTATTTCTTGCACTGTCTGAGCTTCATGGATGCCAAAAGTAACCCAACAGACTGCAATTTGAGGATGCTGGCTCCACTGAATGGACTCATATGTTGCAGTGTGTTCTTCATCACTCAGTTACAGTGGGACAGTCACCAATGGCACCGAGATAAGGAGAGAGTGGCATTTCAATATGCCCTGGGAAAGTGGTGAACACCTACAGTTCCTACTGAGATCGAGGAGAAATGTGAGTGCTCAGCATTTCTATTCCTGGTCACCTTTTAAACAAGTACTTTTCACATCACCTTTTTGCAGTCACCTTTAAATTTAAGCAGAATCTTAATTTTCAGGTGCTTTCAGTCCCTCTTATTTCCTTCATGGTTTCACATTACAGGTACTCATGGAAATTGAACAAGGTTGCAATCAGTTCTGTTTAGAACCAACCAAATATAACCTAGATATGTTATCCATGCACCCTTGAGGATGCTTTTAGGTAAATGGATGTAAAGTTCCAAAGAAAGTGGTGCGAGCCTTTTACACATGACTTCATAGCATTCTCTAGAAACTGCAGTAAAATAAAAAGCTGTTCAAATGTAAAGGTATGTCTCCTTATTTTGTACAAGTTCTGCTTGCTGCCTCTTGCTGTTCTCCCCCTCGTACTGGTGGGATGGAGGAATGAGCAAGTGGCTGTGTGGGTGCTTAGTTGCACATTGAGGTGAACTTACCACTTCTGGTTAAGGAAAGGAAAAAAACAGTATTGAGCCTCTCTCTAGAATTAGCATCTTCCATTACAACTTCTTGCTTATAGTAGTACAGAACAGTTATGAAGCACTTCCCAATTCCTTAGGATTTTAAAAGTATTCAAGCAAATTAAAAGCCTGCATCCTGCAAAAAGATGTTTCTGATCCATGTTTTTGTGTTCTTCTGAATTGCTGAATTGCACATGAGAGTGGATCTTTGGCTGCTGATTTAGCCTGTTGCAGTTAAACCCCCCAAAAATCCTATGAAGTAGATTATTTATTATTTCGTCCTAAGAGATGGTGATGCTGAAACAAACTTGTCTGTTGATTTGTGTCTTTTTGCTGGTGCCAGGTTCATTCCTGGTCAGTTTCCTGACTCTTATTTACCCCATATGAAGATAGAGAGATAAATGCAGTATTTATTTTCATGCTTTGGGGAAACTGGGCAAAGATGAAGCACAGGCTGAAAACAGTAGAGAGGTGGGATATCTAGATGAGAAATATTCATTAGCTTGCACATTGCTCTTAGCCTTGTCAAAACTCTCAAGTCCTACTGCTCCTCCAAGTCACTGCTGTAGCATTGTAATAGGAAAGAATAAAAAAAAACCCTAAGGTGGCTGGAAATTAAGGGCATTAACTGGTGAAAGGATGAAGTTGCTTCCCCATCCTTAGTTGCTGGAGCTAAAGAGATGGGACTTCTAACTGCCATGTGTAACACACTGGGAGGAATGATATTACCAAAGAGTTTAAGGATACATGAGCCTTATCTGGTTCTGCTAGCACAAAGAAAACTCATAAAAGGATGCTGCAGAGCAGGTTTGACCAAATTCTACAGCTTATTACATTGGCAAAAATTGCAGAGCTGGGTAGTCTTCCTGTTTAAATATTGACTTGTGTGATGAGGTTTTTTTTATCTAAAGGCCTCAGTTGTACTATTGTAGGTTTAAGTTCTTTCACCTTTGCTATCTAAATCCTGTTTTATAGAAATATGGGCATGTGGGCTTGATAGCTGTTCAGTCTTAACCTTTGCTTCAGCAGTTGGCTTTCAGACACTCTGTTCTTGCAAGATTAATATTCTCTTAGTAAAAATAACTTTGTGTGCATTCAACTCTGCTTGCATGTGGATACCTGAAAGCAAGTTGAAAATAGTTTTGTGAATATTACAAAAAAAATCTGACCCCCCAAAAACATATAAACCCCCCAAAACCCCCAAAACCAAACCAAACCCTAAAATAGCATACAACATATGAAACATTTTCTGCTCACTCAAGTTGTAAGGAAATCATATGAATCATCACTCATTAAGAAGGGGGTTTCTCAAGCAGCTCAGGAGCCAAATGCCAGTGGCTGCGCTGTGCAAAACACTTCCTTTTCTCAAGGCAGGGAATCTGAATAAATGATGCAGTAGGTACACATGGATAGAGGTGGACACCAGCAGGAAGAGAGGGGGAAAAGCCCAGGCAGGAGCTCTCCATGGACAGCCAAAGCCATGTCCCACGCATGATCCACATTCCCTCCTCGAAGGGGCAGGTCTGTGTCCTCCAAGTAAGCAGCTCACCTTGGGTAAAATGTCCTTCCTCCTGCGCTAATACTTGCTTTGTCTGCATTTTGCCTGCAGTGGCTGAGGAACCCAGGCCCCCAGCACGAGAAGAGGACTCTCTTTGGAGACATAGTGTGCTTCTTGTTTATCACCCCACTGGCGACCATCTCTGGCTGGTTATGTCTGCGAGGAGCAGTGGACCATCTGCACTTTAGTAGTAGGCTAGAAGCTGTTGGCCTCATTGCACTCACTGTGGCACTCTTCACTATTTACCTCTTTTGGACCCTAGTAAGTATTGGGGTTTTTATTTGACTCACAGAAATGAGAGAAAGAACAATCGAGAAATTTAATTAGGGAGTGCTGTAGAGGGTGTGGGCCATTGCACAGAGCGTTGCTTGTATTTACCCTCCGTATTGGTAAATGTGAATTGCATCTGCAAGAAACCCCCCTTGGTTCCACACCATTTGAGTTCACTGGAAAACCAGAAAGGCAGTTTGTTTTGGGGTCAGAATTCTGAAATCTAAACACCAAAGCGGATAGAAAGAGGGAGAAGGGAAGTAACATGAAGGAGTTGAAGACAGATGCTACAGGGGGGAGTTTCATCGAAAATAATGTGGAAAATATGAAGGTACAGCGCACAGAAAAGATTTAGGTGAACAACTTGGCTACCATGGGGGTTTCAGATTTTATTCTAATGCAACTGTCTGGCCAACTTTACATTTCAAAAGCATTGGTATGGGTGCATCCCATGCTTTCCTCATTCCCCATGCTTGTGGTGCTGGGGGAGGTCCACAGCAGAACACACCTTACACCAAGGTCTGTAAAAACACAGCTGCCTTTGCAGTGCAGATTAAACTGCATCCTGCACCCCAGTGTGAGTCATTTGTATGCCAGTGCATCCTAAGAGCCACTTGATCTCTGCCAAGTTGTTAAACTGAGATCAGTTCCTGGTCCCAGTGCACTGACAGACAGTTGTCCCAGCAGAAATGAAGGGAACAGAGGGGACAGCTGCCAAAATCAGTGTTTGTCACGTTAACTGAAAACCCCAGGTTAATGTTGAGTTTGAAATTCCACACCTCTAGCTTTGGTGTGGAAAGGAGAAGAGCAGGGTGGATGCAGATTGGGTGCATCCACAGAAATGCTGGTGTGATGGTGCCGGCCCGTGACAGGAAAAGCTCATCCGAGCCTGTGCTGCCCTGAGTGGGGCCAGTCTATCAGCCCATCCTGCCTGTGTTGCTAGCATGGCCACTAATCCTACAGGGCCAGCACACAGCCCTCCTCCTCAGTGGGTACAGGCACACCACAAGGCTGATCCCTTCCAGCAGTTTTTGATCAGCGCAAGGTTCTGAGGAGGTGACACACTGAGAACCGCAAGAAACTCCCCATGTTGAGCCCTGAGTAAGCTTGGAAAAGTGAAGATGATGGAACAAAAAAACCCCATGCTACCTCACAACTAGCTCCAAAAAAGCTGTCAGAGATATTGTCTCATTTACACATTTGTTACAGTGAAACCCTGTCTCACTCATAGAGGACTGCAGCCTGATGTTGGCAGCAATCAACAGCAGGGAAAGCTGAGTTTTGCCTCTGCCTCGTGGTGTTTCTCTTTTAGTTGTTTCTGCTTTTCTGTGAAGCTGTAGCACTGCCCTGTAACAGACCATTTACTGCAGCAGTGAGGCCACACTTGTTTTTTCTGCAGTGCTGTGTGTAGATATGTCTGTCAGGTATGCAAGCAAAGGTTGTTCAAATTTCGTTTGTGTATGGCTGTCTTAGAAACCCAAATGCTGCTCCATTTACAGTCAATTATAATACACTAAGTTCACCATCACCAAACTTGTTAGAAGTTGTAAAAGGCAATTTTTAGTTGGATTTAATTAACCATGACACATGAACTTATCTGACTTTGCTTATTAAGACTACTGCAGCACCTCTACTTTAATCCCTATTCCTGTCTATTGCATTTGCAGTGGAAGTGGCAAAAATCTGTTCTGTTCACTTTATTACTTTTATCCCTTCAAAAGCATAGAGAGATATGTGTTACTGGCACTTGGAGAACATGGTGATAGTGAGCCTGATGTAAATTCATACCTTGGTTGATTTAATCAAAATACAGTATCTTTGATGTCCATTGAGCTGTGGACAGTTGTAATTCCACTCTAAACTATTATTCAGAGCAGTAGGAGCTGAATGGGCTAAGGAAGCAATGTGTGCAGCAGGGAAAGGCAAGGCAAGAAGCCCTTCAGGGCACTGAATCACTTAATGATTGAAGCTAGAAGGCTAATCCCATCAAAATTCTTCACCAGAACCTGTCTTGTAATTTTTTTCAAATGGGACAATCCTGTATTGCTTACTTAGTTATGGCAGGGAATGTGTTGGGTGCTGTGGGGTGAATTACACACAACATGATATAATGCCCCTTTAGGTCATGGGAAAATTAAGAAAACTAAAACTTTATTTCATTTCCAGTAAATCAGTTTTCTTCTCTGAAGGCAAAAGCTGGCACATAGATTATTTACACACCTACAGTTACCCCAGTGAGCAGTGAACAGGAGAGATGCTATTTTTAGCACCCAAGAAACTGTTTTATCCCTTCCTCTAAAACAGATAGGTTACTCACAAAAAACCGCTGCTGCTTTTCCTCTATATTTAATCACTGCAGCTGATGTACACACACCAAAAAAAGCACCTACTACTCCTGAGAAGAAAGCTCCAGACACAAAAAGGAGATTGCTATTTAAACTAAGAATTCAGGGCCACACTCTGCTTTCTCTTGCATGCAGGTCGTCTTAATTCCTCTAAAATCAAGTAGCAGCTTGGTGTAGAGCAGGATGCGATCCTTTAGCTTCCAGCACAACATAACTGCTGGTTTAAAACAACAGCTAGACCAAGTTAGAAAGGGAGACACCCCCTTTGCTGTCTTACTGAAGAGACCAAGAAGGGAGTTTAATGTGTCAAGGGTCCAAGAAAATCTAGTCTTTCTTTCAGAATCTCAGAAGTTTCTCGTCCAGTGTAACACTTTAGGGTGAGTAACTGGGACTGCTGAAATTCAGTAGCTGACATCACTTGGAAACTGCCCCAGGCAAGAACCCTCTGTAAAAAAACTTACCTAGTGTATCTTGTGATAACTTAGCAGTTAAAGCCTGGCTTAACAATGCAGCCTTTACTCAAAGAATCTCATGTGATGCTACTTGAAAATTCAGCCTAAACTGTGGCTTCACTCTCCTGAACAGTCACTGTCTTTTGCATGGCATCCACCTTTGCAGATGTTTGGGTGTTTTTACCCTCCTCGATACACCACATGAACTGTCTTTTTACAAGAGATTTCTCCTTTCATATACAAGGCTCCACAGAAAAGAGAAGCAGGATGCTTTACCTTCAGGGGGACTAGAGGGGAATGTAAGATGAGAAATCAATTCATCTGTTGAAGAGCTGCCTTTGGGAAACTGCTTAGTAAACAAAAGCTTTATAGGTTTCCCTCATTAACAGCACACAGCTGTATAAAGGTATAATAAAACAAAAACAAAATCTTTTTTTAGCCCTTGTGGGATATTTTTGAACAGTCAATTTATTTAGTTAAAAGCACCTTTTTGCAAAAAGGAAAGGATACATTCACTGCATGGGTCCCTTCTGCCCACAGCTCAAGAACACTTCACCCCAAAGGTCCCAACCCAATTTACAATTTGTTTTTTGTTGTTTTGTTGGTTTTTTTTTAAACTGCACATGTACATCATCTCACACAAATACAACTCCCACAACACCTGGCTGTCACTAAAATAAGTAGTAAACTACTTTTTAAAAACACAGGGCCAAGCTATCTTGCACATCCGTAGCAGTCAGGCATTCCTCTTCCACAATAAGGTTGAAATTGGTTGGCTGATTAAAATACTTCAGAGACAATAGAAATTGAGATACACATGTTGTCAGATGGCTCACACTGATCTGCTACCTCTGTGCAATCCTGACTTTGATGCATTCAGCAATAAAGCATTACAAGGTAGAACATATGACCCTGCACAGAGTTTAGGTGCCTGCAGGCCTTCACCATCCATCCAATTGCACTGTTTGTCACTTTAAACCACAGCATGGAAGCATCCTAAACTTATTCTCAGTGTGTCTGTCAACAACCCTAGTTCTTGGGAAAGACAGAGGCAGGATGTCTGATTTTTTCATGTTATAAAAAAGGGGAAGGACAGGTAGGCAACAGCAGAAACAGTACAGGCTGCTTTCCTTCTCTGCTGTGGCATCTTGGGCACGAGTCACCTACAGGGTAGTTCTCATCTTTTCACCACTTTTTGCCTGTTAGGCTGCTTCTCAATTTTTTGTTCTGCCCAAAGACACTTCCCTCCAAGTCCCATTGAATCCTTGGAGGAGCACAGTGACTGAACCCATCTCTGTTCTCTCCCCAGGTGTCCTTCAGGTATCACTGCAGGCTCTACAATGAATGGCGTCAGACCAATCAGAGGGTGATTCTGCTCATCCCAAAGTCTGCTCACGTCCCCCACAACCAGCAGTCCCTGCTGGGCCTACAGCCCCTCAAAAGGAACTCAAAGGAGACAATCATTTGATTTGGGCAGGTCTGCACAGGGGCCAAGCACTAAGAATATTTTCCTTAAACTCAGACACTGCCCAGAGCCCAGGAGCGCGCTATTCCCATCTACAAATTCTTTGCAGAGGATTGAACTACTGTTTCAATCCAAACCACAGATGCTGCAATCGTATGATATTTGCTAAGCTGCCAAACTTGTTTATTTAGCAGGTACTGTATGGATTCTACAAATTTGTGTTAATTCTTGCATCATCAAGCGATGCAAGCTTTTTTTATTGTTTAAAGTATTAAACTGTCGTAATTAACAATGGACAACAGGTTTTAAAAGTGCTTTCTTTTTATAATTTCATATTCCTACAGTATTATTTCTTTAGGTAACTAGACAGTAATCAATATTGCATTGTTTCCAAAAGTACAGCAATGGCATTCCCTCAATTTTATCTGCAGGTCCATTATACCAATATTTGGATTATTAAATTTTGTCTGTAATGAGTTCTACAAATTTATATATTATTTAAGTGCTATAAAGTGATTAGAAAAATATCTTCTCTATTTTCTGTTTGGCAGAGAAGGTCTGATAGGAACATTCTTCAGTAAAAAATTCAGCATGTGCAAAAGAGAGAAATTACACAAATTGCAGTAATCTTCCCATCAAAAGTATTATGGTACATAGGACTCAGGATAAAAAAAATGTACTTTTTCCATGTAAAAGCAACAAGTCAGGCACCACATTCTTCAGTGAAGTGCATGTTCTGTTAGTGTGAATTCAAACAATTCACTCTGCATTTACACCAAGCTGAATTTAACTCTAAGACTTACTTTTGTAAGGACAACTCTGCATGCAAAATGAATGAGATTCCTCAGAAAAGTTTTAGGAACTCATCTTGCATAGAAAACAGCATTATTTTAAAGCTGCAGAATTTTCAGCTTGACAGGTAGATTTAGCAGTGTATGGAAACCCTGACCTCTCATGGTAGCACTAAGACTAAGGCATCTCTTAAAAAAAAATTAATACAGAGCTTACTGTGGTGACCAAATTGAATTTGGAGTGCAAAGACTAGACCTTATTCCTGGATGACATGATCTATTTCCCCTTGATTTTATGCCAAATTTCTTCAACAATTCTTTACTCTCAGAAGACACAGTTATGTAGATAGACTCATTTTAAATAATTACACAAAATTTTACTAGCAAATGCTGCTAGAACTAGAATTTGATACAACGAATTTGATTTAATTTTTTAGAAATGTGTGTAGATGGCAATGCCATCATGTGCTTTGTTTTCCAAACTCTGTGGGAACTGAAAACAAAAAGGAAGACATAGCAGGAAGGCTAATAATTTGTCACTCAAAGTTCAAGGTATTATGTGTCTTTACCATCAGATGTGAACTTATTTGATGTTGTGTTTGCTCTGTGGGAGAAAAAAAGCCTAGTACACAAAGCCAAATCTGTTATCTTTATTCTGTCTGTGGACCAGTCTAGCTAAAAGCATGTTATTTAACACTATTCTTTGTAACTGTCAATTTCATGGGGATATAAAAATCAACTAACTATATAAAGCAATAATAGCCTCATTCTGACATAAAACTACTTTAAAAGCAAGACGTAGGAAAATCATGAACCTGCGGATCTATACTCATAATAAGGTGAGAGGTTGGTCACATTTGGCCATGAATAACTGCTTCTCTTCCAGAGAAAACTATACAAGACTCTGAATACATGGATATCACAAACTCTATGATATCCTAAAACCTGTAGTGCTTTTTTTTTTTTAAATAAACTCTCTCCCCAAAGGTCACTTAACTATGTGGGTAGAAGACTGAACTTGCACTTTAGCAGAGTTCCAGGTTAAAAGAAAACCTGCTGGGCACAGAAATAAAGCAGATCCAGCTAGATGAGGACACTGTCAGACAGGGTTTTAATGCCTATACCTTTGCTTCAGATAAGCTTTCTTCAGAACTGTTACTGCTTTTGCTTCTTTGGGAGATGCCCCAGAAAGCTGGCCCATGAAAGAAGTGTCATTCTTCGCAAGTACTATTATTGGGTTTGTTTTGTGAAGCAAAAAATTAGGAGGACATGGAATTAAGTGGCAACTAGAAAAGCAATTATTCAAATGAAGCCGCATGTTATATGCACGCAGATCACCACAGTGACTTGGCCCAGCTCATATTTCAAGTTTTACTTTTTGTTTAAAGACAGCTTATTTTATCTGAAGAAGGTATGCTGCAGAGCAGCCAGAGAGAAAAGTATGGTCCAGTTTAGCAAATACATTACTAATTTAGTTTCTGTGCTTGATGCAGAAGTACAGCAGAAGTGTCTGGTGAAGTCACAGTAGCAGTACCCCATGTATTTTCTTGAGGGAAAAAAAGTGTTGGAAAAGATCCAGTCAGACACTTACAGTTGCATTAAACCCATGGAAAAAAGCATACTTGTATTCTTCCTTGTTTTTCCTAAAACATAAGAACAGGGAGTTGGGAGATTACTTATTAGTCCCACTTCTGTTCTGAACTAAAGACTCACAGACAGAAGAATCTCCCTGATGAGAGTTGCTTTTCCTTCCAACTAGTTGAGGCTGTTGCCCCACCAAGTCCAAAATTCCAGTAACAACTTTATCGGTGAAGAGGCACGGACAGATTACCCACAGACCAATTTGATCGGCAAAATGTCCGCTTTATTAGAAGAAAGACACCTTATATACTGCCTATGACACTCAGACGCGTGATTCTTCTTCACACAGCATTGGATACATAAGGAAAACATACTTTGTTGTCCACTGCTAATCGGACCACAACAGGTGTCCATATGAGCTGAGGGCACACATTCAGCCTCCTGAAACTCCACCTTAACTTTGGCAGGGAGCCTCCTTTGTTCTAACTTCAACTCCTGTAGCCATATTTAGCTACGTAGTTCTTTTACTGTCTGCACCCAGCCATGCCAAGGCAAGGTTCACAGAAATGCAACAGAAATTGTTCACATATGATCTCTATTCTCCCAACACCACTCTAAAACTGGATCATTACAGCAACTATCCTACAGCAGCAACACTCATTTTTGTCTGAATAGATGTGAAAGACCAAATTAACTGCAGCAGGAGCCACAGATAGCAAAGCTTCTGGCAGTACAATAACACCTTTGTTATGCTATTGATGCCTGCTCTGCTGGTGCTAAAGGAAAAAAAACCTCAGTAGCAGTTAATTAGGGGTGAGATAAGGAAAGGTTTTAATTAAGCCAAGGCAATAGATGTTACAAGACCAGCTGTGCTTGAGATGTTACATTTTATAATGCCATCCGTCCAATCCCAAGTGTGTCCACCCCGGGTCCACCCCCTTAGAATTGAGTCTGGGGTGTATTTCGGGACCACCTCTTCATCATCTTCACCATCTTCAGAGCACAAAGGGTACACAGTCACCTAGTTTTTGACTCTGTTCTGTTGTTCAGGCCTAGATATGGGTGTTCTCTAAGCAGTATAGGCCTTGCCTTGACAAGAGACTAAACATTGCCAGTGAATTCAGGGGTAGATTTGATATGGGGAGCACAGAATGGGGTAAGAGGGTTAAGGAATGTGTAAACTACTGGTACTACAGAGAAAGGGAGTGAGGGCTGCTGCTTTTAAAATCTACTTATAAAACTTACAAAAATTAGAAAAATAAAAAACTAATAGGGGCTTAAGGCATCACTATCCCTAAAGAGCTCTCAGCTAAGCAAAAAATAAAAGTTAAACAATGAAAGGATAAGGGACCACCTTTTTTCCTTTATTTTTTTTTAAATGTCACTTAGTTTGCTTCTCAGCAACTTTAAGCTTTCTTCTCATGCAGCTGGCCTTGCCATTTACATGGTAATTCTTCCATGTAAGAATTTATATAGAAGGAACAGTATTTCATCAGTATTCAAATCAATATTTTACACTGCAGGTGATAAAAGCAGCCTATTATGGTTTAGTATAAATGGGGTGAGTGCAATTCAAAGTGAAGAAGTTTTACTTCTACAGTCTTTTCCCCTGCAAGACTAGTCTATCCCATTACATAAAGATTTAGAAATTCCATAGGCTTTCTGTTCAGCTGGAAGAAAGTCACAATACAAGCAGCATTAAAAATACTTCAGGTTTTGGTGTGGTGATTTTTTTCTTTACTCAGCTGTATAGTTCTGCCAAACTGAGACCCCTAAACTGTCATTTACATTTCATTTATTGAAACAGCTGTGCACCAGTTTCACAGTACAAAGTCACACAGGGCAATGTGGCAATTCAGTGCATAAAGGGACTCGCAGCCAAAATGTGGAACTAGCCTTGGATACAATGGATACCATCACAAATTGATATAATAGGTACTGGGGAAGGCACACGCACTAAAAGAGCTAAAGAAGCTCTCCCTTTTAAAAAAAATAACTGTGAATTTATTTAATATCTTTATCTGTTACTTTTTATGAGACCAAGCTCCATTTAACACAGAACTGGTTAATTAAACAACCATTTTCCTTGCAACAGTATTGCCTATTTACTGCCAAATACTGGTTTATGGTACTCAAAAGTATCTTTAAAAACTACTAGACAATGCAAAATCATAGAATCACACAATTCAGGTTGGAAAAAAACCTCTCAGATCATCAAGTCCAACCACTGACCCAGCACTGCCACGTTCACCACAAACCATGTCCCCATGTGCCACATCCACAGGTTCTTTGAACATTTCCAGGTATGATTATTCCACCACTTCCCTGGGCAGCCTGTTTCAATGCCTGACCACCTTTTCAGTGAATGAGTTTTCCTAATATCCAGTCCCAACCTTGCCTGGCATTGCAGGGGGTTGTTGTGACTTGACACTTCCCCTTGTTGTACCTCACACAGCTGGCCTCATCCCATCAATCCAGCCCATCCAGATCCCTCTGCAGAGTCTTCCTGCCCTCCAACAGACCAACACTCCCACCCAAGTTGGTGCTGGTGAATTTACTGAGGGAACTCTTGACCCCCTTGACCAGATCAATAAAGATACTGAACAGAGCTGTACTGAAGATGACACCACACTAATCCATTGTTATTCCACATCTCAAATTTAGTTTCACATGCATTTCCCCATAAGACAGCCTTTTCAAAAAATCAAAGAGGTACATCTTCAGGTTCTTAAATTGTTTTCAGTTCTTAAATCTTTTACTGATTAATCTCTTACATCTGTTTGTGGCAATGCTACAAAACATTTCTCTCCCTCTCTTTGCTGTCAAAAGATTACAGAACTGATTGTGGTTTTCTTCCAACTCTATTGTAAGCATACCAAATACTTTCCCAATAAAACTTGCCAAAATACAGAATCAGTATTGACGTTCTATCTACAACGTGCCCTTAAGAGCAACAACAAAACACACCACACCTTCAAAAACAAGATGCTGCAGTTGCAGAGAAAACCAGTGTTACAGTTTCATTCCATGACTTACATTATGGAGAAAGTCAGACTTGCTTGCCCTTAATTTTTTTTGTTCACAAAAGTACAAAACAACTTTTCTATGAAAATTCACATCCAAGAGTTAATTGTTAACTGTAGGAAAATCCTATC